GAGTTGTATTCTATTGAATGTTGAGGGACTTTATGTTCTAAGTGATTGGAGGATGAAACCCTTGAAGTTGGAGGGTTTAGAGTTGGTAACGTGAAGGGGAAAGTCGGGAAGCTTGCGAGGAGCATGTCCGCGTCGCAGACTTGTTCCCTCTTTGAACAAAATTCTTCTCCGCGTCGTGGACAGGACGTGGACTCCACTGTTTTCAGAAATTATGTTCGAAGATTTTCTTAAGTTTGGCTGTCCCAAATCATTCCTAAATCATTCCTAAACATCATGAGGTCCTTCCAAACACCAATCAAGTCCTTGAATCCATAATTCAATTCGAGGAGAGTGAGAAGTCAAGTAAAGTTAGAAGTCAAGTGAAGTTTAGAGTTAAGTTCAAGAGTTAAGAAGTAAGTCAAGCAAGTTCTTAAAGTTGTTCAAGAGTCTTTATTGAACGTTTTAACTTCATTTTTAGACTCAAGTTTCAAGTCAAGCAAAGAGCTTAGAGTTTCAAGTTAGGTAAAGAGTCTCAAGACTCAAGTTAAGTCAAGAGTGTAAGTTGAGTTCATTTCTCCAAAGTTAATAGGGAACTATGTACTTCCCAAAGAAGTTTCTAAATGTTTTTACATTTAAGTAAGAAAGGAATCATGTTTTCCAAAAGAGCCTTAGGGCTAGTTTTCAAGAAAAGGAACATCGTTTCCAAGTGAGCCTTTGGGCTAGATTTTGAGTAATTATCTCATTTAAAGAAAGATGTGTTTAAAACGCTTATGAGTCAAAAGCATTTTGGGAGTAGTATCGAGCACCGATTTGGGGACGCGAGTTCATATTAAACTCAACTCTCCATAAGAACCATGTAGCCAACATGGGAGTTAACGGGTCATACTTTTTAGATGAACCCGTAAAGTTAAGCTAGTGGATCCACTTAGTAAAGTTAGCTTCCTATATCAAAACCAGGTATAGGATGGTCCTCAGGCAACGTGAGGTAAAACGTTGTATCACCACTTAGTTTCATAATGGTGGTTTGTCGGTTAGAGGAACTCCCACAGTAGAAAGAGCTTGGTATCCTCGAGGGTTATGCTTAGTATAGATGGGGGTATGGGACTTCATTCATACATTGCACAAGTAGACCTCGAGAGGAAGCATGGTATTTTATGATATTATAAATATGATTTTTACGTCATGTTTTAAGAGTTTTACAAGCTTTATATATTGCATGTGTCTTATTGCTTTATATATTGAGTTCAGTTATTCATGAGTTGAACAGAGCCAAGGTAAGTGTTCTCTTGTACTCTTTTCAAGTTTAAGTTGTGGTTTAGCTTTCCAGCTCGCATACTCGTACATTCAATATACTGATGCCAGTTGGCCTGCATCTTATGACGATGCAGACACAGGTACCCCGGATCAGCATCCTGTACGCCGTTGATCCAGCTGAGCACTCCAGAATCAGTGGTGAGCCTCCTTGCTTTCCGGAGGACTCAGATATTTTATTTTCTTTTAGTTTTGTGTTATTAGGATGTTGCGGGGTCTGTCCCAACATCCATCTCAGTATGCTAGAGGCTTCATAGACAGTCAGTCAATTAGTATTGAGTCTCTCATCTATGTATATATGTAAATATTCTATTTTGAGACTCGAGTTGCCCTTTTGGGCCAGATTTCATCAGTTAAGTTGTTTTATGTCTTTGCATGGCATTAAGTTAATCTGTTGAGTTAGGTTTCCGCTGAGTTAAGAAAGCCAGGCCAAGGGTTCGCTTGGGGCCAGCGATGGTCTCTGAGTGCCGGTCCCTCCCAGGGTGTAGGCTCGGGGCGTGACAGTTAGTTTCAAACTTGTGACCTCATGATGCAAAGTGAAGTTCAAAAACACCACTCCACAAAGCAAACTTACCTAGTAGAGTCATTTAGTTCATACATATACGTTACTACATTAGTTTATTATTTTTATGTTTCATAAAATTATCATACAAATCGGCATTCAATGACATGCTATAACTAATGTTCATTAGCCATTGGTGGTGTACCCATCGTCTTCAAATCCTGAGTTCGCCTCTGAGTACAATGTAAA